GATCCAGTTGGAAACACTTCAAGCAGATGTAAATAAACTTCACTCTACGATACTGCTGCAGTCACAATATCATCATAGCTGACTGACGAGGAAAGGTGGCAACCAATGCAGTGATTGCCCATAGTGAAAAGGCTGTACCCTGGTGTAGTCGAAATATATTCTTCCTGCATAATACAATGTCTATAGAACCAAGACAGAATAAGCCAAGGTACAGTAGAGTTAAATATTACATAGTCTACTACTGAAGATTTCTGTCTTCTGGGTTGTTGCGCTTACTACACAGCACAACAACCCAGACGACAGAAATCTTCATACTCACCGCTGTGAAAACCTCAAATCTTACATAGTCTACTACTGTAAAACAATATATTTATGTAGTTAAAGGCAGTAAGTATACTTACACAGAAATGCATCTATTTGGTCAAATAATAATTAGTGAATATTATATGTATATGAGGTAGAAGCAACAAATTAAATTAAATTAGTAGGCCTCTGTAGTTCTGGCCACAATTTTTTATTATTTTGATTCTTTTAATTTCTGGAGACTGTTACAGAAATTTGAACTGTCTTATATTTAAGCAAATAAAGGGACAATGGGCTTGTTAGTATTTTAATAGAGACATATATTTAAAGGCAGGTAAAGCAAGGTATGTTAAAAATTTGAAAACATTCATAGCAAGCCACATGCAAGCAACATGTCTTGTATTTTGCACCTCATCAATAAATTCTTCATCTTCAATCTCTTCATCTATATCATCCTTCTCCTCCTGATCATCAGTTGGATGTGGCTGCTGCTGCTGCTGTAACAGCTGTTGTGTATGCTGTTGCTGCAACTGTGGTTGTTGTTGTTGTGGTAGATGTTGCTGTTGTGACTCCTGCTGCATTCTCAGAACCTTTTAGCAAGAAAGTAATTGCAAAACAAAGGGAAAAGCTGACCATGTTGAATATTGTATCAATTCTCTGAGACATACTACAGTCCACATTTTTGTTTTCAAGTCATACAGTTCTGCTACAAGTCCTATGGAAACTGTCTATTATGATTGATGAAAGACTCTCGGGTAACAAACCGTGTAGGGTGGCTGAATGGTGAATGAACCATTTCTTCTGCCAACGTTTTGAGAGCCATGTCTGCTCTCATCCTTAGGGCAGCTGTGAAACGAAACTGGTCCTATGTAGCACGCTCGCCGATGGGAACTCATAGGACCAGTTTCGTTTCGCAGCTGCCCTGAGGATGAGAGCAGACATGGCTCTCGAAACATTGGCGGAAGAAATGGTTCATTCACCATTCAGCCACCTGACGCGGCTTATTACCAGAGAGTCTTTCATAACTTCGGTTGCCCTGAAAGCTTCACTTTATATATGTCTGTTATGATATTTATTGTGACTTGGAGACTAGTAAGTAAGAAGTACTCTTGGCTTTTAGAGGTACTGTCAAAAGTACATTCATTAGTAATTATACAGATGTGCTATGTAATGACTTTATATCAATTACATACATGTAGTATTAGTGATAATGTAATTTTTTGAAGATGTTTATGGCTTTACAAGAATCAAAAATCAAAATTCAAAATGGCTCCAGAGAAAAGAACCCAGAATCCACAGAAAATGTACCAAATTTTAAGGTGAAAGAGAGAGATTGATATCATGGTCTGAAAGACATTTTTGTTGTTAGTAAGAAAACATTTTTTAAAAATTTAGAAATAGAAGTACTCTTATGACAAATTGCATTGGTGAATGTAAATAGCTGGTACTACAGTAAACATTCTAGTATCTTTATCAAGAGGAACATACTTCTGTTAACAAGACCAACAGAGTAGTATTAATCCCTGTCCATCTGTTTGTAGTATTACATGCTCTCCACCTGTTTACCTCATGACAGAAAACAATGCTGAAATTAAGACAATGGACAAATATGACAGAAAACAATGCTGAAATTAAGATGATGGACAAAGTCCAAAATAGTCATATCGAAGATGTTATACACTTGCAAGGGCCAAACCAAAATATATACCTCAAGCAAGAAACCAATTAAGAATTATGTGAAATTAATAAACAAACCCATAGTAAAAAGATATGATCATGCAACACGAAGATAAAACAATGTATCTCAAAAGGGGTACAGAAGAATATACTTTTGGGTCATTCCATGTCAAATCAACACAGGTCACAAACCGACCCCATGAGAACTGGATGATTTTTTTGTGAGATTGTATTCTCAATAGATATGAGTATTTCTGCCAAATTTTACTGCATTGTGGCCACTATATTTTTGACAGCAGATATACAAAGCTGTAAAAAAACTCATTTTTTTTGTACAAGTTGTCTTGGGAAAAGTGGCATAACTTTGGCCTACCTGAAATTATTTTTTGCTCATTTTAAAGCCAATAAAATGCCCTTTCAAATGACCTGTTACACCAATATACGTATTCATCATAGCTACATTTTCAAGGTCTTAAAATTTGACCTTTGCCCCTGTATTTCTCAAAATACAGTATTTTAACCCGCCCCCTCCTCTCTCTCTCTAAACACACACATCACATTTTGATATATATGAGTTTTCTTAGCTTTGGATGACTGGTCTCAAAAATCTAGTGACCATAAAGCAGTAAAATTTAGCAAGAAAGAATACTTATCTCCATTGGGACTACAATATCATGTAAAATTATTCAGTTCTGAGAGGGTCTGGTTGGAAATGTCTCTTTTCTGTGCTGAATTACCCATTTATGAGCAAAATTATAATTTTACAGTCATTCAGAACATGCCTGTAAGTTCCATGAAAGCAGCAGATTTCGTGACCATTTGAATAACAAGCTTGCTTCATGCATACAAATAAGTTAGGAGCAGCATCCTGCACTGTTCTTTGTCAGCTTGCATAACAGATCTCTTTCATCTGCAGAAACATGCATATATATTAGATAGTAATAACAGGGCAATATCTGTGAGTAATTAACATGAATAATGCATAAAAAAGAAATATTAATCTCAAACAACTTGACTGAGAAGCAGTCCTAATTCTTATGAATTTCAACAAATTACTTAGTTATAATGAACACACCTTGATATGTTGCAATATGTTGAGATGCTGGATATCTTCTTTAGAGGTTTTTCAACATGGATATTACAAGGCATGTGAATCCATATATCCATAACAGTGAAACCACTTTTGCATTACAATAGCATAAGGCTATACTCTGCTCAGAAGTTCATTGATATATCTAGAAACAAGAGTGTAAAGAAATGTATATTACCTTAATTTCCTGTCTTTACACTGTTCCAATGTGTTATGAGCAATTTGTTGTTTCAAAGGTCACTAATTTTTTTATCAGGCACCCACCCATAAAATTGGCGATTTAGTTTAATTGTTTGGTTACATTTGGTGGTTCTAGGGGAAGAAAGAAAAATAAACTTTCCGAGGCTTTTTCATTTGTATGGCCTATTTCTCTAATGGGTTGTGGGCTTCTTAGGGTTAGGTCTAGTGTAGGATAAGTGTTTCTTCGATATTACAGATAGTATATGAACACTAGTTGGGTACAGTGCTTGTAACTGATACGTCCAACCACTATATTTGTACATTTCAATGGAAACATTCATTAAAAACATATACGTACAGCGTCTAAATCATGTCCATAGCACGTATAAGTTGGCAATATTTTCAAATGAAGAAAAACAAAATGTTGGCGCATAATCCACAGCAGAAATTTTATAGTGACTGAGCTGCATTGACGTATTATTAAGATGTGAAATCACATTTACTTACACTAATACCTTTATACGGTTACTGCTCGAAATATATAATTATATATTTATTACATGTTCACCAACATCGTTCGTGTTGTATACACTATGCAACACACACACATACACGTGTATATATATACACACGTTGGTGGTCAGTTTTTACCGAACTCATTAGGTTGAACCACAGATAATTACTTAGATAACAAATGGCAATTGTTTCGGCATGTCTTGTAGTTGACCACTCAACTTTTCGTTAATTCACCATTTATTTTTGTTGTTTATATAGAAGCCATTTTGGTCGGATATAAATAAAACAATACCATTTGTAAAAATGTTAGTGCGAATGAACGTAAAATACTTAAATTACGTTGTTATTTTTATAATAAAAAAATATGGTTTCAAGAAATAATTTGTTTAGATAAAAAGTACTCATTCCTTGACTCCCGAATCTTATCGGCAAATTTATATCAAGGTGTCCAACATTGTTTAATGCAGGTCCAGCAAACCACCATTCATTTCTGGTCGCATCTGTGATGTGCTCACTTGTTCAATGTACCAGTGAATGTGATGTACGAGGCACAATATTGTCTGATTACAGGTTATATAATTTCAAATTCTGTGTTAGGCATTACGTAGTTTTATATATTCTCACAAAAATGCAAATTACAGGCAGCAAGGAAATCACGTAATATACAGACAGAAAAATCTTGTATATTCGAAAATTGAATACACTAAGTTAGTTTCACATATCATTATTTCCTCACAGTGACTATATATGCTGAATAATTTACATATCATGCACATAAATTATAAGGTGGCAACCAATGGATGTGAAGTTCAATCTTTATTCTAAAACAATAATATATTTGTTACAGGCAGAAACTCGAGAAAGTTTGATGTAAAAGGCAGTGATCACGATAGCCAACACCACAGTTTGAAAATCCTACGTATGTTGCTCATTCTCATCTGTACCTGACACGTGATACCAACGACGTAACATTAAATTCTGTGCAGCATGTTTCAGTCGCTCAGGATCATCGGCAGGCTCTCGTGGATATTCATAAGCAGTTACATGTGACTTGACATTGTCCAGAATTATGTATTACAAAAATTAAAATTAAGTTAATTATTAGAAATTAAAAAATGCAATTTGTTGTCTTGCAGTAATGCAAGTACCTATGAAACCAGTAACTAATAATCATACAGTTAAACTCATCAGTCTGTAATCACAACTTCTGATTTATTCAAAATGGTTATCTATACACCGTATTAAATTAATTTTGTTGGTATTATAATTTTGCAGCACAATATGTTTTCATCCATCTTGTATGTCTTATTAGAAGTTAACCTGTGAAGAATGGCAGGTGTAGGCTGTTGTTGGATGTATTCCTTTCATACATCAACTCCAAGAAGACTCGCACCACAAAACAGGCACACACATATTGTCTCCCAGAGTACCAAGAAACATGCATACTTAACGAGAAGCATCTTAATATGTTACACTTACTGCCTGCAAGATGTGGAAGGATACAAAAAAACATATAATATATACTCCAATAATAGAATCACAGAATACAATAAAAGCATATATTCATTGCATCCATTCTAATAGTGTTGGCACAAAATTAAGTAATAAATAAAACATATTTATAGCATTTAAAATATGTTTGTTTTATATTGTCTGTAATTTCATGTTCTTGTCGTAACTACTTAGCCAAGGTATGTATCTAATAATTATTAAAACCTACTTAATTAAACAAATAATTATAAAATATCAGATTAATTGCAAGACCACAACTTGCAAATTTGATTTTTAATTTTTGTAATACAAAATTCTAGACAATGACAAGTCACATAAAAAACTGATTCAGAATAAGAAATGTTTCCACAAGGGTCTAAAGATGATCCTGAATAATTGAAACATGTCTAGAATTAATTCTGCATTGTTAATAACAAAAATATATTGTGCGCTACAGAATCTTTGTTCTTTTATATACCAAGAAAACTCGATTAGAATCACAGAACCAGCAGGTATTAGAAATGGATTGCTACAAACATCTAGCTAATAGTATATGTGGCAGTGTAAACTCTGCAATGACTTCAAAACTCAATAGACATGGGTATTATGAAGTCAATATTAGATTAGTGTATGGTCTAAGGTGTACTGAAAATGGCAATAAATCTGCATAGACTTTATGTGCAGTGATGAACTTGCTCTCTGCACCTTTCAAGTTCAGTGAACAGAACAAACACATTTTTGAAAGTGCTAGGAATATTGGGATTTCTATGCAGTTACAGAAGTTTCATTGAATGATGGGACTTGGCATGTTTGGTGGCTTATGACAAAATTACAGATGTTGCAGTGTTATAAAAACATTGTCAGTTGTACTTCAGTACATCATAGGAAAAGAATACAAATGCACAAGAAACTATGATAGCTTAGTGCTGGGATGGAAGTAGACAGAATACCGCTTGTTACAGAAATACAGAATTTTTACTTTCTCCAATACCAAAGGGCTGGAGATAAAAAAGATTTTCAAAATGAAGAGGCCAGACCACACATGATGATGTATACAAAGGGGAAACTGGAGGATATGTTAAGAATGTATCCATTTACCCACAAGAAGTTTTTGAATAAACTGTCTTAAAGAATACTTATTATGCAATATTTATTGTGTAATTAATTTACTTTTCCATATTTTATAGGTTACTATCTTGAAAATAGCCTCTTTATGGTAGTACAATACAGTTTTTACAGTTGTGAAGCATTAATGATCATCATAAATGGCTGGTTGTATTGTAATGCAGACATAGTCTGAATGAATGCAACAGTTTTAAACACTCTGTGCAAAAAGAGTACTACTAAATTCACAAATCCTGAAAACACCCTAAAATATACCCTTTAAAGCAGTTGCTTTAGCTTTATTATATGTGTTCACAATCAGGAATTAAGGTAACTGGCCCAAATGTCAAACTGACAATAAAATTATGTATAGGGAGAGTTCACTCCTGTACATATCATGTCTTGCATAACAATGGATTGGCATTAATTGTATAGAATTGGTGAAGTCATAGAAAACTACGTATTTTATTATATACATTAAAATTGTATTTAACAGCAACTCATTTTTACATTGTGTACATGCATGTGTAGTGTGGAATGTACGTAAAACAAAATTTAAACTGTTTTTCATTGTATAAATGCTGGGCAGGTCTTGGTTTATTCATTACATAAAACAAAATTTAAACTGTTTTTCATTGTGTAAATGCTGGGCAGGTCTCAGTTTATTCATTACATCAAATTTTCAAATAAAAATGTTGTTTTTCATATTTTAATATTAAATCTGAATACATTGTTAGAAGCAATGGAACCTCAAAGGAATGTTAGAATGAATTTTCATATTGTTAATTTGTTCAGTATGATTAACAACTCATCAACAAATAAACAGTTTTTCTGTAACAAAAACATTGTTATTTCCAAATGTTGAAAATTTAACTGTTACAAAAGGATAAAATTGTTAGAACTGAATTATCCATGGCTTCACCAAAGACTACTATTTAGAACATTCTTGTCTACATACAGTAATATTTAACTCATAATACAAAGAAACTGAAGTATTCTTTGCCCAAATATACACTAATTGCTAAAAATACCACAGCCCAAAATTTACTTCTAAGTGTGCCTTATGTAATACTTTTCTATTAAATCTAAATTTGTGGATCAGACTTTTGTTCATTCGCAATATTCTCTTGAAACTGTTGTCTTGCTTCACGGTTTGATTCCATCAACTTCATCAGCTGGGCATGGATAAAGTCATTTTTCTGCTCCAAAGCATCAAGAGCCAAACTTAATGCATCCAGTTGGAGATTTAATGAAGCAAAATCTGTAAAATAAGTCACTGCTACAAAATGTTTTCACGTTCATGTTAAGTTCAGATGTGTTGAGCACTATCTCCTCACACCTCACTAACATAAATCTCATCCCTATTCTATTCTAAAATGCAAATCACATGATCTTGGAAAGTAAAATTATAAATGTTTTAATATACGCAACAGACCTGTAGAGTACACTAATTTATATACTGACTGGTTAATGCACTTTTTACCATCATCAGCCACATCTTCATCATCCTCTGTGTCATCAGGTCTTTGATTTTCTAGACCATTTTCAGTCGGTTGTCTTGTTTCGTTAATCATATTGTCATCTGCCATATTAAACCTTGAACTAATTTCTGGGCCATCTGGATGTACATTACAGTTAGTGTTTTCTAGCGCTTTGGTACAGTACGTAAAAACTAGGCACCCATGATTAAAATAAGTATGGTTATTAGTTTGATACAAGCAAGACGAGAGTTTGTGTAGTAAAATTATGATGTAAATTATTTAGTTATAGTTTGGAATCAAATTAAGTGTCCGAAAATAGATATCTGTGAAAAATAGTATCCACTTAGTTCTTTGACTGTAAAAGGCCATGGTTTGTAAATCAGGAAGTTGTCGGAATATCTTTGACAATGGATTCTCTGGAGTAGTGGGGGATCCGATGCCATAATGCGTCACTTCCTGCGTCCTTGTTTCGTCGTTGTTGAGGCATAGTATACAAGAGGTGAGTGATGGTTATTTTATCTACTTTTATTGTTGTAATCGACAGAAGTAGTATGAAATTTTTATATAATACATATCAACTTAATCAGTGTTAAGCACATAGTATTTATCTAGGGCAGTTTTGATAGTAATACATGTCTGTGTTTAACATAGACAATATTCAACATTGTAGCGTTGTCTAGTGTATGTAGCAGAATGTCTAATCGGTATTTACTTATTTATGGTGGGCATTTACCCGCTTGATGTACAAGTCGGTAAATAATTACTTTTATGCCCGCGTAGCGTTACGTGTAAAAAGTGTAACTGCAATAGAAATACATCGTGATCCAGGAAAAGGTATATCGAAATGGTTTATTGTTTTAGGGTGGCTGTACCTTTAATAAGACAGTTTTGGGGGTAACTGCTTTTTTGAGCTTATTGCACCACCACGGTAGAACAGGGCTCGACAAACTACATCCGGCATTTCGGTGTTGCACAGAGAAATTGTCATAGAGGCCAATGTTTTCAAGTGCAGTTATGTTTAGTTTGTACTTTGCTTACTTCAAAAATCCCAATTCAAAAGGGATTACAATACAGAACTGCTCATCTTTGGCAGTAAACAATCATTTGTGATTATAATATGGTGAAAACTTGGTAGACATTTTCTATGCAGTGGCATAAAACCCATGGCATAGGATTCAAATATTCTCCCTGTACAGATGCACAAACATGGTGCAGATTCCTTTGTATTTACAATTCCGCTTTCGTTATTGCGGAAAGAGCTGAGCTGTGAATCGGTTGTAGAAGAAGTGCGTCGTAAACTAGATAATTTTGTGCTTGTAAAAACGTTTTAGAATATCACAAGTACTTATCTTATATAAGAATTATTACATTTTATTACATTACAGAGACGTATTTACGTCAGATTCTCCGGAATCGTAGTTCCACCGTCAACTTTTTCACATTACTTACGTTTACACAGTTTGATTGTTTTGCTGGTCTTTTGAAATACCAGTCTTATGCAAGACATTGCATGTATTGAACCATCATTCCCAATTCCATTATTGGCATTGTGCTCTTAAGATGGACAGGTGCCTGAGTACAAGTTAGCAGATACTGACCCCCCACAACTTGGTAAGACAAACCAAAGTTAAACAAAATTACATTTTGGCATGCCCTCACTGCTGCCTCTCCATGTAAGAGAACAATTAAATTCAACATGGATCACTTTTGAAAGGAAACCATAAGTTTTCAAAACAAGACAGTACCGACCACAAACTCCATAAATGGTGGTAACAAAACGCTGGTGTTTCAGAATACATACATATGCCGAATGACTGCAGGGATAAGAGGATAATCGAAAAATAAAATTAGTTTCTGCTGTTGGTAGCCTATATGCTAGTATGACCCTGACCTCAAATGGAAGTAAAACCTGATGCTTACATCAAACAATATGTACTAAAGCACACTGACTAAAGTTAACATAAAAGCACATACACCAGCACAAGTTAAGAAAGCTTCTAATTTGCTTAGCCAGTAGTAACAGCTCCAAAAGCTTTGTCATGAAATAGTGTCCGAATTTGGAGAAAGATAGGGTCTTATCACTGCAAGCAGTGAGCAAATGCAAGCTGACAATTGCCAGTTATTCAGAAATGAAGAGGAGTGACAATGTGACCGAACAATAGCATTTTATGGAAGTACTTTAAAATTTTTTTACTGTTAAACAACAGCAAACTATAGCAACATTATATGGAGCAAATGCAATTTTTATACAAGTACAGGTGTGAGGCCCTGGGCCATTGCCCACCTCAGCAACCCCTTTCACCATCAGTGTAAGGGGTAGACTTCATTTTGTTTTAGCAGTATAGAGGATGTGCTTGTACAGGGATTGCATTTTCAGTACCCTTTATCTAGGTAAGTTTCCTACTGTTGATAAGTGATTCTAGACTTACCAGGATGAATTGGTAATGCTCAGCCTAAGGTAGATCATAAACTGGCAACTAGTGTACAAATTACTTTTGACGTAAATACGTCTATACTGAATGGTCATTCAGCAAAAGTGAAATGAAAACGTGTAAGATCCGTATCAACAATGTGTAAATATGGACCGACAACAATGGTCAGCTTGCGTGCATTGCTATGGTACGTAAGAAATGTTGTATGTTTACTCGGCATTGTTGTGTTACATTACTGCTGTCAACAATCCGCTTTCATTACTGCGGAAAGAGCTTCGCTGTGAATCGGTTGTAGAAGAAGTGTGTCGTAGACTAGATAATTTTGTGCTGTTAAAAACCTTTTAGAATATCACAGGTACTTTTCTTATATAAGAATTATTACATTACAGAGACGTATTTATGTCAGATTCTCCGGAACTGTGGTTCCACTGTTAACTTTTTAACACCTGTAATTTATACATTTTCAGGGAGTATGTTGCTCAAGGAAAATTAGTTATTTTTTATTTTATGGGTTCATTATATTTAATTTTGTTCATGTGTGTGGATGTTTTTTTGAAAAGTAAAGAACTCGGTTTTGTTGATTTACCTTAGAAAACAAAAATGGCTGACAATGATGATCTTCTTGACTATGAAGATGAGGAACAGCCTGAACAGACTGTGATTGATGGATCTGGTGATGCTACTACAAAGAAAGAAGTAAAGGGGACTTACGTCTCCATCCACAGTTCTGGTTTCCGTGATTTTCTTCTTAAACCGGAAATTTTACGGGCTATTGTTGATTGTGGCTTTGAACATCCTTCAGAAGGTAATTTGCTTTATTTTGAATATCAATATCAGAGATATTTGTGTATTATCAAAGGAAGTTAATTTAGCACAAATGATGACATTAATAGATAGGGACATCTGAAATATAGTGATAGATTTCAGTCTATCCTGATGTGCTAAATTGTCTATATTTATGATATTCTGACTTGAAAATTCAAGTATAAAGCAGGTTTTTCAGATTCAGAGTAAGATTATCTAGTGATGAAGTTAGAAAAGTTAAAATCAGCTACATGCAGATCTTGATTTTCTGGTTTGGTTGTTCTTGCAGCAGAGGTACTAGATGACGACAGGAATTAACACTGGCAATAATTTTAACTTTATTCATTTGGGGTATTTAAATATGTGTGACTCTTGGCTTTCCAACTGAATGAATGCGCTTTTATTTGCTTAGTAAATTTGTCCTGCATCGTACACTTTGTTCCTTTTTTGTTGTACTTACCAAGCTGCACACTTTATCAAATTCACCTACCCAGTAATAAGTGTGTGGCTTAGAATGTTTTATAAGATAAGGTAGTTGATTTGTTTCAATAATATTAAATATATAAACAGTTCTTTCACAAAATGGATGATTAAAAGTGAAACAAAAAACCTGAAAAATGACATAAAGCAATTTTGTTTAGAAGGTCTTATCGTAATTACTTCAGCAATTTAATGAGTTGTTGCACTTTAACAGGACCTCATAAATGGGGGTGTGGGGCCAAGAACTTAGAGCAGCTTTGCTCAGTAGCCAGGCTTTGTTTTTAGAGTTCTCCATACATAGCACACAGATTTTGAGCGTTTTTAAATGCCAAAGAGCCAGTCAAGTTGACAAATTATCACTTTTTCTTTGTATTTTTTGATGTCTGAAGATTGTTTCAAATTTCTGTTTAAGACAGGAAGAATTAAGCAGTATGGATCTGTGAGAGGAATGTCTTTAAACATTTTTTTGTCTTAAGATTGTTGTAAGCATTCTGTCTTATTTATTTCAGTGCAACATGAGTGTATTCCGCAGGCTGTACTTGGGATGGACATTTTATGTCAGGCCAAGTCAGGTATGGGAAAAACAGCAGTGTTTGTACTGGCAACGTTGCAACAGTTGGAACCTGCAGAAAACCAGGTGTATGTACTTGTGATGTGCCACACACGTGAACTGGCATTCCAGATTAGCAAGGAATATGAAAGATTCTCAAAATACATGCCACAGACTAAGGTATGTTTATTTTTATAGTTTACTAACGTGCCATGTTAAGTTAACGTTCATTAAACCTAATATACCGCCACTGTGGTCTAGCGGTTAGAACGCTGGCCTTGTGATCCTGGGTTCGATACCCGGCGGTGCCCAAATTTATAACTTGTGTTGGGCAAGGCCAGTGGTATTCAACCTTTTTTTGTTCGCGTATCCCCAGATATAATTTCTCTACAATTTTGTACCCCCAAAGTAGTTGGTGTATAATTCAAGTTATACACAGTATATAATCTACATCTAAAATAAATTA